TTATGACAATGATTTAAATGCTTTGTCCAAAAAGGTCTCTCTTTTTGGCAATAACTCACAAGATATTTTTGGGGAGTATAATCTCACAAATTTCTTTGGGGAGTATTATGACAATGATCTAAATGCAGTTCTGGGCAGTATAATCTCACAAGTTTCTTTGGGGAGTATTATGACAATAATCTAAATGCAGTTCTGGGCAGTATAATCTCACAAGATATTTTTCTCCAGAAAAGAAAAATTCAATGGCAATAACTCAAATGTGGTTCAAAATGTCCGTGAACTATCAATATTGTCGCGCCCTTAACTGGAAAGGTCTCTCTTTCTCTCTGCTCTTTGCTAAGACTATCTTGTAAAACTTCACATCAACTATTTATGCAGAAACTAACTGACTGCAGATTCAACAGGAAAATAAGTGGCCCTATGAACATGAAAAAGAAACGAGCTAACATCTTGACAGAAAGAGCAGGGGTATTAGAAGATGCCCATTACTCAACCACTTATAATACTTGAAGAATACAGGTTTTAATAGCCATGCACATGAAAGTATCACAATTAAACCACTCTTCTTGATAGAAAAAGATCATTCTACAAACAAGCTTCTATATTCCCTATAAACAGCAGCTTCAAAACAAGATTCTGCAATTACATTACATATGAGGCACTAACCGTGTGCATGCTCAATAAGCGTACTTCATGAGACAGAATCCTTCCCTTTGTTTTGCGCCAACGATCCAAAATCTTTAGGTGGCCATATCTAATGACAAAAAATGAACAAAGATAAGAAATCTTAGTATTCTTTCTAGTAGTAGAAAATAGAAATACCAAAAGACAGTTCATTGTTCACATCCATCAGACTTCAGTACTACCAGTAAAATACATATTTTCAATCTTCCTTGGGAGAAAGGTAACAGCAATCACTTATGTGTATCTCAAAGCTTGCAAATTTTTACCACAACTTAATTACTATTTGAACTTTTATTGAAGCTCCACATCATACATTTTTCTCCAAATCATACCACTCATAAATTCAAAGGCATCCTTTTAACAATTCTACTTGAAAACCAACATAGATGTGTTCCCTTATGCTTAGAAAGTCAATCTAAAACCAATGTAAAACAATGTATACGCAAATAATTCAAATTGAGCTGCAAGAAGAAAAGATTCTCACCCTCCAAAAGACTCTGCCTTGAAGAAGTCCATAAGGAACAGGCCCAAATTTTCTTGAATCATTTGACTCATAGATGTTGTCTCCCTCTATCCAAACATGCCCCTTTGGAACCTAGTAGCACCAACAACAACAACAATATAATATCCAAAATCCCAAAAAACAAAAACA